CTCCGTTGGCATTGCCCTGCAACATCTCGCAAAAATCAAAAGGCTTGCGCTACCACACCTCTTTCTCTGCGAGGATCATGTCAACCTCCTCATATTTCCTGCATCTATGTTAACAAGGTGTCATTTGAAATTTGTGCCTGAGGATATTGCGGTAACGGGGAACCTATTTTCTGGTAGTGCTCCAAATTTAAAGGAGCTCCTCCTTATTGACTGCCCACTCGATTGGACGCCTCTTATTGGAAAAAACCTTCAGCGCCTTTCGATAACCTCAAATTACGCTCGGGCGAACTTCTCTCCGGAATGTTTTGTTAACGGTTCGAATCTCGAAAACCTTGTTCTAAGTGGCTTTACAGTGAAAACAGGCAGGCTTTCGGGAATGGTTGAACTACCTAAACTTCGAAACATCACACTTACTTCCAGCTTAAAAAGCTGTTTAGATTTTATGCAGAAGATTTCCGTCCCGCTTCATCCATACATCGTTGTAAACTGCTGTCGCAATGATGAGGTGGACGGGCAGGAGGAACAGTTGACTGCCTTGTCCAAAATCATCCATCGCATAGCGTCGGCGAATACCGATAAGATCCACTCCATTCAGGTGCTGGAGAGACAAGAAAGTGAAGTAAATTTACAGGGCGAACTCGATCCATATGGTCATGAAGATGATGATGATGGCAAATTCCTAATCCAAGCCTGGACGCATTCTTCAAATCAAAAGGATAGATCTTGTTATCAGATTGTATTGCAAGATATTATCGATATCTCGGACTTGGATTTGACGTGGAAGAAGTCATCGTTATGCCATTCCTGCAAACCTGTCGCTCAGTTCCACCAGACTTACTCTCAAGCTTGAAGTCGTTTTCGATTCCTTGCCGAGGCCCGCACCTTTCAGCCGCACAATGGTTACATCTCGCCAGAATCGCCACGCTCGAAGAGCTCGAGATCGGTATTAACAATGCAGCTGGATTCATAGACATCTTCTCGCAACATATCAGCATTCCAGACCACAACTCGTTTGCCCGTCATACTACTAGCACTCCTTCATTCCAGGCGCTACAGGTCCTCACCCTTGCAGCGTGGGGTTTACGAAATGAAACAGGCTATACCAACATATTCCAGCGGTTTCAAGATTGTCTGGATCTGAGGAAAAGCAAAGAGATGACGCAACCATCGAAGCTTCATCCTGAGATGTTGTCCCATCGAAGACAGTGAATTTAATCAGCTGGAAAGAAATCTCAAAGGTAAATTCAAATGTACTGAAGTTGTTTACTCGCAGAATCGCGAATGGCCTGGGTTGAGTCTAGAGATAGTAGGAGATCTACACTGGTATTGGAAGATAGGGCCCGACATTATACGATGGTTTGATTGATACTGTACTATTACATAGCCAACGTAAACTGCACCGTATGACATCTGGAATTGCACTTCTGAAAAAATTGCGTTTGAATCCATTTAAGGTCCCAGAACGTTGACCGACATTCCCTATCCCATTTGCGATTCTTTCTAGTGTCCCTCGCCCTCCTAGTACAGAGCCTAACACTTTAAGAATTGGGCTGTCACTTGCACCAAGTACTAGTAAACTCCCGAATTACCTCTTCCGTTTCTTGTCTCAAGCTGGAGCGGTTTGAAGCATTAAACATTCCACAACCTCAGTAGTTACGCGCATGAACAAATGCTATTATTATTGGTATAAAGTTACACGCATGCTGCGCACATACAGGAGACCGAGACCGAGATAAGAGAATAAATAAGAATAAGATAATTATCGCAAGTCCAGTCGAGTCGATTCCGAAAGATACAAAAGCCAGAAGCCATATTATATGTTACACAAGTCCAGATATTGAGATCCATTCGCAGTCCTATCGTGATATCCTTTCGTAATCGTAATCCAGTCCAGTCCAGAGCCAGGGTAACCATAGGGTATATCCAGTCCATAAATGCATCGTGATATTCTTGAGATCTGAGATTCATTCGTTTATCTAGGTAGATGCAGTCTTTAAGCAAGATACTCGGGAAGAGAGGGGTTCGATGTCGATTATCGCGTTCAACGAGAAAGCCGTTCCAGACGGACGTCACGTAGAGCGCAGCATCCGACTTCGACTCCAAGGCGGCCCATGAATGCTTCTCAGGCGTCCCCGAGAAGGATCCAGAACCGCAAGCTCATAAATGCCTCCCAGGCGTCCCCAGGAAACATTCATGGCATACTGCGGATGAGGAGGAAGTCGAAGAGGAGGAAGAAGTGGTGATGAAGGATGCGCTGAAACGGTGGTGGAGCTCGAAACAAAGAAAGGTCAAACATTCACGGAAAAAAAAAACAAAGGGCCTGAATGGCGTCGAAACCAAAGTCGAACAAAGGGAGCTTGAGATTTGGGCGAGATCTGGTATTTGAGTGCGAACGACAAGTTTCTCAAAGGCGGGGCGAAGGCGTCATAAGACGGAGTTGGATCGGCGGCTAGCTCTCGGGTTCGTCTCTTGCTATAGTTTTCACATCCGAGAATTCTTTGATGATGTTGGGCCGTCGATCTCAGCCAGGTACTGCTGTGGTTTGCGATAAGTCGTTCGCGAGTCCTAATGGCAGTGTTGGCAGAAGAAGGAAAGGTAAACCGGTGGCAGGAGTTTTCGTAAGTCTGAAGTCGGCGGTGGGATACCATTCCAGAAATCCGCTGGAGGGCCAGAACGCGGGTTTTAGCTCGAGTAAGGCGGGTCCGAGCAAAGATGTGGCGAGCATCTTGAGTCGTTCGTTAATCACATACCAGGGGATGGGGTGTCGTGAAAGAAAGAAAGAAATGAACCAAAATAAAAACAAAGGGGCATCAGCGACACTGATAAGGCGAAGTTCAATATTCCATCGTGTCACATGAAGAGAAAGAAAGACTCACTCTTTCATCAACACTTCTTCCTTTTTCGACGAGTATGAGGAGGAGAGGGAGCAATGATCAGACGGCGGCGCTTATCATGTGGCGAAGGCTGATCGTCGTCTTCACGAGCGCGGACACAACCAATCGTTATTGACTTGTCCGGCGCACGAATACGCCAAGATGGACTGAGGAGAGAAATAAGTATGGAATATGTGTAAAGCAAGTAAGATACATACCTAATGCATTCAGCGTAGCGCGCCCCTGGGGCTTTCCCACAATAAACGCCTTGTTCCAGGGCGTACCAGCGCTCTGTGAAGAGGCCGGCAACGCTAACATCGTATAGAGGAATAAGCAACGGTAGAGCCTCCTCCATCTCTGTATCGGCAGGGTAAAGTATCGCAGGAGAAGAATCCATAATAACGTCTTCCGGGAGACTAAGCTGCAAGTTCTCGAAAAGCGCAACGAGCTCATTTTCTATAAACATTGGAATGGGAGCGGTGTCTGCGAATGTTGAGATCAGATTTAAAGACGTAGTAACGAAGACACAAGAAAAACGCACATTCTGAGTCATTCCAGAAGTCTTCATCATTTAGCTCTTTCACTCCGTTTAACGCCTTCTCATCCGCGTCTACGGATTCTAAAAGGAGGTCAGAATATTAAAATACACGAAAGGAAAAACACAAGGCTTACGATCGACGAGACTAGCGATCCAAGAAGGTCGTAGGTCATGTGGCGCGGTGAACTGCTCCATGGGCACGATGGGTTGTTCGAAAAGCTCCATTGCTAAGGATAAAGGACTCGGAGATGGCGCAGGGGCAGGATGAATGGCTGTGTTCAATCCCAACGAAGACTCGACAAAGGCGGGAACTGAGTCCTCATCGCGAAGAGAGCTAAAGGCGGGATGCGAAAGATCGGTCTTCCTAAGGATTCTTTTGGTTTTCCTGGCGCTGCTGCGATACGAGAGCGCTGGGAGAATGCTTAGACCAAGTAGACAATAGTACGATCACGAATTACCATTTTCCTTCCCTTTCCCTGATCTTAGTGTTGGCCTATTCTGTCGAGCGCCCAATGGGTTGGGCTCGTCTACAGTACAGGAGAATGAAGTTCGGCATAGGCGAGATAAAAGGAGTAAACTTACCAGTGTCAAGAACTCTAAGGCGTTTGCGTCGTGCTTCACGAGCTCCGCCTCCATCTTCAACGCGGTCTAGAAGGGAGAAAAGTCAATAGTTGAAGAGCGATGAGAGAATGCTAAATACCAAACATGACGGTATCTTGGCGCTTGAGGTCAGGCTCAGAAGGGTTGCGGCAACCGCCTTGGACAAAATCCTCGAATTCCGAGGCCAGGGCTGTATTATGTGAATTGCCGCACAGCGAGAAATCAGGCGAAATAAACTTACAGAAGGTCTCATTATTAGGGCGTGGTGCCTTAGGTGAGGATGACGGCGTGAAGAGAGACGTTGAGGAAGCTGGCGGCGTGAAGAGAGACGTTGAGGAAGCTGGCGGCGTGAAGAGAGACGTTGAGGAAGCTGGCGGCGTGAAGAGGGACGTTGAGGAAGTAGGGAGCGACGGAGAGGCCGAAGGCGACGAAGGGAAGCAGGAGACAGGTGAATTTGGAGGAGAGTCAAAATCGCAGGAAGAAGCTGAGCGTTTGTGGGAGTACATGGTTGCCCAAGAGTAAGATGGTGGAATCTGAATTTGCACAGCTGGTATATATACCTTTTCATCGTTCAACGATCGAAGTGAGACATGTCACCTCAAAGGATCAACAAAATCGCGTCAAGTCGCGTCATCACGTGTGCGCGACTGAACCTGTGGCTAGGAAGCCTAGAATTGAAACGCGTGGCGCAGAATCGCCTTGCAAATCCATGTGGCTGTCGACGGAGTCTGGAGAAGCCAGAAAATCTTTGAACGCAAGTTGATCCGCGGATTCCGCGCTGGCCCATCTTGGTCGCGTGTCAACATAATAAGGCTACGCGCCTCGAAAATTGAACATCGCCTTATATCACGCGTTACTTTAATTCTGGAGGAACCGGGAACGCTAACGACGCGTCTTTTATGATATTAGTAATAGTTGTACGTGAATCCGAAGGGCCACGGCCATAGTGCATTGTAGCTGCGAAAGCCAAAAACATCCTATATTCATCATCCGACCTGCCTGGATCGAACAGGCGGCATCAAGATAGGTAACCCGTTACAGTCTTGCGCTCTACCAACTGAGCTAAGGTCGGTGTGGTTTTTAGCTGTATTTCGTTATAAGTCGACTTATTTTTTTTTTTTTTTAAAAAAAAACAAAGACTTGCTGCTCAATTGGAATCCATATTGTGGTCTGGCTTCTGAATGGTATTTGGATGACCCAGATGGCGCAATAGAATGCATGGCGCAGAAGGAAGAATACTTTATATAAACAAATTTCCTTGAAAGAGAACAGAGAGAAGGATAAGACGTTGCAGCCTAGAGACATAACAGTTAGAGCAATTGATACATGTCACATATTCAAACATAGTACATGGCGACATAGACAGCATATAAACATGCAAAATTGCCGAGCTTCAAGAAGCATGATAACTACCTCGTACAAGCCCCTTCAAACCTTTCTTCAACTCCCTGACCTTGTTCATCACCATACTCCCTCGTCTCTTCCCCATATCTTTAAATTTAAATGCCCCCTCTTCATGTTGACCTTGACCTGCCAACTGCATTCGCAACTCCGTCTCTCCGCTCAACGAAAACCCGCCATGTCGTGACATTGGGCCAAATGTGGGAGGATACATGGATAGATGAGATGACGAGCGTGGGCGGTATGCAGATGAGGGCTCAGTGCGAGGGCCCTCGTCGTCATCGTCAAAAGGCGACACCGAAAATACGGACATGAGCCCTGGAGAAGGAGCCCGAATTTGCGCTGGCAGAGACATAGGACGGGAAGGACGTCCACTGAGATTTGTTGGAGGGACGTAGGAAGAGGGCGGAGCCTCGATAATCGAGGTGGGTCGGGACATGTTTGGACGAATAGCAGTATAAAAAGGGCGACGGGGATGTCCCAGAGGAACGGTATTATCAGCTGTCAGTGGTCGTGCTGGTGATGGAATCGACGAGCGTTTCATTCCGCGGCTCGGGACGCAAAATACATCGTCATCTCCAGAGGCGTTGACTGCGTGTGAGACGATTGACGGTGCATTGACAGTAAAGGTGGTGCTTATAACCGAGTTGGGGCGTGAGCTTGACTTGGAAGTGCGTAAAAGTGATAATCGTTTCTTTCGTCGAAGGGTCTTTGGTGTGAGCGGTGGTTCTGGTTTGGTTAGGGGGTTATCAGGGGTCTCTTTGAGGGAGTCATCGTACGCATCGTGGAGGGCATTAAAGTCGATAACAATGTGAGCCGAACGGAGTGATTTCGTGGACATCGTTTTTACGAGAGGGATCTGATTGCGGCCACGGCTGGCTACCCCAGTAGAGAGAGAACGTCGGAGTTTTGGGAGGGTAGTGCCCAAGCCGATCCCTTTGAAATTGGTATCAATATCTTTAAGCCAGGCAGGTCGTCGTGAATGTTCAGGCTGGGCTAAATACTGAGAGATAACGGTCAGATGTGTATATATGTCATATGTAAGGTTTAAAAAGACCCTACCAAAGAAGTCGAATCAGCGACAACTGTCTCGTTCGTCGTAAGAAAAGTATCCCGACAGGATGAACGAATATGAGATTTTGCACTTGACAGCGGGCTGACCGTTGCCTTATTACCCAGGGTTACGGGTTGCGATGTGGAGCCACAGGAACGATTGCTTTTATCGCCTGCGGGTTCGGTTTCAGACAACCGTTTCTGAGGAGCGGATGAATGTACGCGTGAAACCGCGGCAGGGTCCGTATTCTCGATTTTCCAAACAATCTTTGACGGGGTACTGGCTCTTCGGGCACGGACATGATGCATGGACTCCTCGAATTTTCGGCATGCTTCTTCTGATGTCCAACGACACCAAAGGCAAAGAGGTACGAGAGTATTGATAGAACAGCATCTACGACAATCGAATAGGGGTCGATCGGAGGGAAGAAGCTTGAAGATGGGAAGAGAAACTGATTTGGATAGATACTGCGAAGGTAGTACCGATGAGTTCATAAGTGCAAGATAGTTCAATGAAAAACATACAGCTTTATGTCTTCTCCACTCTCGTTTGTAGAACCGGCGACGCTCGAGTGTTTCCTTTGAATCCTGCATGCTCCGAGTAAAGGGGTTGACGGCAAGTTGACGGGCCTCACGTTTAGCCAGCTGAGCCAAAGGTAGCTGTGTATTGGATCACTGCAGTGCGATGATAGAAGTGTGTATATCTGTCGCCTCCACGAAGTCGTACAGGCTGGTGGTGGTACAAAAGAGATAGGGCCCTGAACTGGGGAGCGATCAACGCCTTATCCCACCCATTGTTCTTTGTGACAAGCCTCATGGCAGCCTGCAGTTGTCTGCAGATCCCAAGTGGCAATTGATACCGCACATAGCAAGTCTGCTGGAGCTGTCAAGGCCGTCTTCGACGTTGAGCATGATTGCAAAGGGGACGTCAGCGTTGAAGGGGAAGAATGAAGTGGCTGTACGCGCTTACAAGCCTTTGTTTCTGAACCGCATCAAGTGTCAAAGCGGCTCCGCTCACACTGCCTACGGCCACTGGAATAATACTAGGAATGACACAAAGGTGGTAAAACAATGAATACAACGCACAGGGCACCCCGTCCTCGATTGAATCTTTCACCTCTGCCTACGGAAATTTGGTTGGACATTTTGGCTCGAGCATGCACTGCGGGAGAATGGAATCCGTTGACTCTGGAAACATCAATTGACTTTTCTCTTACGGCTACGCGTGGACGAATGAAGCTGTTCCGGCAGTCTTTGGTATGTCAAGAGACCTCCTATACTGCCTACGATGATAGAGAGGATATCTAGGTGACAAAACGCCATGTGGTCCGCGTTTGCAAGACATGGAATGTGTGGACGACGCCTCACCTATACGAGAACGTATACCTTGGGAGGTTCAAGAGCTTGCGTCCTCTGCTAGACGCGTTGCAGAGAACACAGAAGACACCTGGAATCGGTCACGCACATCCACTAGGCTGGTGGACTAAGCGACTCGATATCGCGATACGAGATAGGGAACTTAGTTTCGATAGTCTGCAAGACGCAAGTTGCCTCATAGCCCTCATCGTGGAGTGCTTCCCAAACCTCAACGTCGTGTGCTTCCCCTCCGACAACCACTGTGTGCTCATATATCCAGAGCGGATCTTGAGCAGCATTGCAAATACAAGTGGGGCCAAACTACAGGCAGTCGTCTGGCAGAGCACCGTTGACCCACCAGTTTTCGATGATTGGCGAGCGTTCCTCGACAAAGCTGCGAATATCAAAATGCTTCGTTCCCCGGATCATGAGCTCCAGGGTTCCCCACCTCCCAAACTCAACTACCTCGAGACTCTCCAGGTCGGGGATCAAACCCTTCTCGGCGATTACCCATCGCTGCGCCGTCTCATCTGCGAGGTGGCTCCTGAGCCGTCTTGGTCCGATGCCATCCAACTTTATGGGCCTCGGTTAGAGCACCTTCAGCTCAACATACGAGATTTGTTCACACTGACACCCGTAATGGATCTGGTGTCTATTCACTGCCCACGGCTCGTCCGTTTGGATCTTTCGGTCAACGATTGGCTAGTTGTTGGCTTGCATATGCCAGGCGACGAACTAAGACCCCCGCCCACTATCAAAGTCCTCGGTCTACAGAACACTTCTATACAAGCGAATGCAAAATCGTACAGGACTCTTCTCAATGGCCTCAAGCAGATGCACTCGACCCCAGCGTTGGCCTCTATCCAATTCATCGATAGTGGGAACGCAAAGGATTTCGTTCAAAAACATCGCCGATTGATGTTAACTGGGATAGCCATGCTCAAACGAAAAGGACTGGAACTACGAGATCACGAAGGGATATTGATGGAATGAAGGAAGAACTCGTCCACCTATGGACTTGCGGACATTAACCCTTTCACCTCGTCTTCGTTGAGGACCGCATGCCCCGTTTCCATCTTGCCTTCACCGATGGCGCGCACGCAAAGACGAATAATCAGATAGCAGATGGGAGGGAGGGTAACAACATGTGTGCTTAATCGTTGTTTTGTCCCCCACTCTGCCCGACTTATTGGTGTGCAGGATCAGCTATCCCAGAACATTTTGTTCTTCAGTCATTCTATAGCCTAAAATGGGCTAAACGTGCATGATGCCCTTCTGACTAGGTTCTTGTTGCCGCCGACGTGTCGTGTTTGTTGCCTAGATGTTTCATATTTTAAAAGGACTGGTTCGAAAATCAAATACAACTACCTGAAAGGTCAAAGAGGGTCAGAAGAGACTCAATAGGTGTATGTGGAACACCTTTGGATCGACGTGATGACAAGAAACATGTTGAATGTTTGGAGTAGCTGACATCGGCGGTTGTGCGTACGGTCTTCCACTGGCTGTTGAACAATCGATTTTCACCCTATCCTTTTCCAGGACCGCTGTCATATATGTACATACTTTAATCTCCTCCACCTGCAGGGATCGGTGTGATATATTTCAATTTCTAGGGAATGCCAGCACCAATCATAGAACGTAAATCGTATATAAAGGAGTTGCCTGCCATTGTCCTCGCTACAACCCAAATCTACCATGTCGTTCATCATCGAAAAGGATCGATACTCTGTCGCCGCAACTTCTCCGTGCAACATCGAGGCCAAAGACGATAAAGTCACATCGGAAATATGGTTTCGTACCCCAGTACGGGCACCCTCCACTTCGCAAATAGAACTCTAAATCTGATTGTGCTCATTTAGGCCCTTGACAAGGACATTTTGGACAAATTGTTGAGCATTCAGCTGGAGACCACGTCACGCGACCAGGGTCATGTCGATTTTGCCGAAGCAGGCAGCTGGAGTTGGTTCGAAATGACCGTGTTTGAATCGCCGCAGTCATCCGAGATAAAGGTCAAGGATGGCCTCGCGCTTCTCTGGTTCAGCCATGAGAACAAATTGGGCAGCAATGAAGAATCAAAGCAAACAGGGCCTCTCTTTGGGGCTCAACACGATCTCTTAACGAGCCTGGAGGTAGCGTCGTTTTGATCATGACGTCACTTCCTCAATTTTCATCTACTATCTTGCACAGGTCGGAAATGTATTGGGAGTTCGAGTGTGCGCTAGATTCCCTGGCTGGGAAAACCACGCATCAGCGGCCCGTTTA